TTCATTTCCAGGTCGCTCAGGCTTTAGCTCCTCTAAGTCCCTATGTTCTAACTGGTCTAAAAAGACCCCCTGAGCTCCATTTCATGTAAATATAGTCTTTATGAACTTCAGGTCATCTATTGAGATTTTCGTCCATAAATATTCGCCGAATTAACTCACTAAGCTTTAGATCATTTATAAACACTCACAGAGTTCCAGCCCATCCATAATGAGCTTCATCTCACCTATAAAACGCGATGAACTTTAGTTCTTTTATAAGAACTTCTTGATCTCCAGCTGGCCTATAAAGACTTACTGAGTTTCAGTTATTCCTGAGACCTTTAGGCTTCAGCTCTAAAAAATATTCTTCGTCTATAAATACTACCGGAGTTCGAGCTCGTCTAATAAAAATATATGGGCTCCACCTCGTCTATAACTTCCTGATCTCCAACTTGCCTATAGAGCCTCCTTGAGCTCTAGTTTGTCTTTAAGACTTCCAGAGGACAAGATCTTTTATAAAAATTCCCTGATTAGAACTCTCTGAGCTCCAGATTGTCTATAAAGTCTTCCTGAGCTCTATAAAACTTCCTGAGCACCTGCACATCTAAAAAGACTCCCAAAGCTCCAGTCTCATATTTAGACTCCTTGAGCTCCAGCTATTAGGACTCCCTGATCTCCAGTCTGCCTATAGAGACTACTTTAGCTCTAGTTTGTCTTTAAGCCTTCCGGAACTCAAAGTCATCTATAAAAATCGCTTATTGGAACTCCCTGATTTTCTGATTGTCTATAAAATCTTTCGGAGCTCTATACAACTTCCTAAGCTCCTGTTCATCTAAAAAGAGTCCCGAATCTCCAGCTCATCTATAAAAATTCTCTGAACTCCAGCTCGCCTATAGAGACTCCTTGAGCTACAGTTTACCTGTAAAGACTACATGAGCTTCAACTCGTCTATAAAGGAGCTCCGGAGCTCCTTCAGTTTCGTCCATGCATACTCCCTGATATCCAGCTCGTCTCTGAAGGCTCCCCGATCACGTTTCGTCGTTTATATAGACTCTCTGACTTCCAGCTTATCCAGAAAGACTAAAGGAGCTCCACTTCGTCTATGAAGATTGCCTGAGCTTTAGCTCGTCCCCAAAGGCTCCATGAAGACCCCCTGTTCTTCTGCCTAAAAGCATGCAATTAATTTCGTTCATAAGGAAATTTTTAGAGAGAACATATTGTCTTCCTTTTTTAACCACTGTTTTGGGTTTTTTTGACTTTTTTTTTTTGTTTTTTGAAAAGCCCACGACCAAAAATTACAACGCACTTCAAACTAAATGCTCACAATTCAGCTCAGCTCAATTCCACTCGCATATGAGTGTTTGTTTGCATTTCTCAATGCAGCAGATATCAAGTGATACCATGGATGAATTCATGGATTTGCAAAATGTATTTCAAACAAAATGTTTTCAAAATTGTTGTTGCTGTTGCAATTTTTTTTTATGCGATGCGGTGGAGCACTACTTCATCTAGGCAGTTGGATGGCCGGGCAGGCTGGCTTGCTGGGCACCAGCAGCAGTTCACATTAGTGACACATTTTAAAAGGTATTTGCCATGGACTTGCTTGGCCAATGTTCGGTTGGTTGTGGTGGCTCTCTATGCATTTGTGTTCAGCGAACTGAACTGAGGCAAAACTAAACATTGGATTGAATGAAATGTGCGCTCAACGAATCAGCAACAACAGCGAAAAAAACGGAGTTTGGAAAAAACGGAACGCTCAAAAATTGACAGCAAGTGGGCAGTAACATTCAGTATAATTTCCACAGTTCCACAATTAAAGTGTCAAAGACTTTTTTTTCTATCTATGTTGACTATTGCCAAAAAAAGATTGGAGATTTGTTGGCTGAATGGCTCAAATTCGAAATGGAGACACTTCGCTTGTGACTGGTTTTATTGACTTCAGTTATTTTTTGTGCTGTAGAGTAATGCGGAGTTTTAGTTTTTTGTTTTGTTTTTGTTTCCATTGATGATTGTTGACAGAAATTGTCTCTATGCCACAAAAGGCTTAAAAGCTTTTGTTTGAAATTCGTTTTTTTTTTATTTGTGGTAATTTTCAGGAAAATTTATGAATGAGTGCGGATTACTATTATTATTGTTGACATTTTTGTAGATCTGTTACAAAATGATAAGGAATGGGGTTTTGGCGGATGTTTGGAGTGGTCGTTTTTGTTTTTGGAATGTAAAATTGTGTTTCTTAGAAAATAGGATAAGATAAGGAGAAAAAAATGTCTATAGGAATCTGAGTAGATGTTCAAGGAATCCTTGTAGACCAATCGAATGGGAGTATTAAGGGATAATCTGACGAGGAAGTGTAAATATAGGAACTGAAGTTCAGAGAGCCTGTATAGAAGATGAAAAGCTCTTAAAATAATCATGAAACGGATGAACTCTATTTTTATACCAATTATGTATTTTATTTACGATAGTGTAAACACTCAGTTCCATTTAAAATTTAAATATTTGAAATTAACGGTTACTTATCTAAATAATCTTTAAATAGTACCATAAAATTACATCTCTGAATCGAATACCTTTTTATACAACCAATACTACACAAGAATCTTGCTTCTCATATGTAGTACCTAAGCTGAATATAATTTCAATAAAGACACTCCGATTCCTATTTCAAATCCGACTCTCATTCGTTTAGCGTACACTGAAAACTTAAGATCATTAACCACGCTTGCCCAAGTGAATGGACTCATATCATAAGCTGAAACTAATTCCTAAACAAGAAGTAAAAAATATTTGAAATCTTGTAGTTTTGGATGAAGCCATACCAGCTCCGCTCGCGAGCTTCTTTATTGGCGCCCAACGTGGGCCCTGCTTCATTGAAACCCAAAGTGGAGCTTGCTTTAATCATAGGTGGAAACTTTGGTATTGTTTCCAGAAGATATCAAAGTATTCTTCAAATATGAGCTGAAGAAGGCCTAGCAAGATAGTTTTATGACGTGTTATAGAAATTTATAGACGAACTGAAGACCAGTGGATTTTTAGATAAGCACAAGTAACTTTTTATAGAGGAGCTTTTTTATAGAGGAGCTTTTTAGTAGAGGAATTTTTATCGAAGCTCAAGAAATCTTTATAGAATATCTTATGCCCAAAGAGTCTTTGTAGACTAGCTGAAACCCAGGGAGTCCTTGTAAACGAGCAGTAGCTCAGGCAGAATTTTAATCGAACTGTATCTCTAACAAACTTTGTAGAGAGTCTTTATAGTCGAGCTGAATCTCAAAAAGCATCTATGGGTGAGCTGATGGGTAACGTTATACACGAATGACGAACTGAAAGCAACAGAATGAAGATATATTTATAGATTACCTGTGGGATAACGAGAAAACCGACCAACTCAGACCCTCAATAATGTTATACGGAATATCAGGACTACACCATTTTGTTGTTGTTGTAGCAGCCCTATTGCTTTTATACAATGGGCTGAGGTGACAGACGTTGGCCGAGAAATACTCGGGTCGTTTTGGATCGCAGACCCCTCTGTCGTGGAAACGATGCACCGTTTTGTTGTATGCTTTATTGCCATCTTAAATGTAACTTCATAATGTCTCTCTCATAGAAATCCTGTTCTCTATTTGCAAAAAAAAAAAAATCTAGTAGTCGATTTTCACAATCCTCCCTAGATACCAATTATTTATAATTAACAAAATTCGCTTGGTGCAAAGTCCGGACTGTATGGCGGATGCATTAAAACTTCCCCACCAAGCTCCAAAAGTTTCTGGCGAGTCACTTTAGATGTGTGTGGCATAGCGTTGTTCTGGTGGAACACAACATCTCTCCTGTTGGCCAATTCTGGCCGTTTCTGGTCAATTGCTATCTTCAAACGGTCCAGTTGTTGACAGTAGAGATCAGAATTTAGCGTTTGGCCATAATCCCCTTCCAGTCCACAAAATGCATAGCAGATCTTGCCTGGCCGTTAGTCCTGTTTTGGATATCGTTTGAGGTGCTCCAACGCTCTTTGGTCACAGTCGTCTTCGCACAGGGTCATCGTATATGATCCATTTCTCATCTCCAGTCACCATTCTCTATGAAATTGGTCTATCAAATTCCGTTTGGCCAAGGCTTCGCAGATGGGAATTCTATCCATCCTTTTTTTCTGTTAATTGGTGTGGCACCCAAACATCGAGCTTCTTTTTGAATCCAGCTTGGGTAAATGGTTTAAAACAGGTTTATGGTCGATTTTTAGCTTCTGGGCGATGTTACGACTGCTAATATGCCGGTCAACTTCGATCATTTCTCTAATGGATTTCGTTTTCCCCAACCTAATATGAATCGGGGATCTGTGGAATAACTCCACCCCCTTTTATTTTACAATTTTAAACCTCTTCAAAGTACAAAAAAATCTAATTAAGTCATCATCGCTATTTTTATTATTACACATCATCCCAACTGGCTCCTTGGGAAGCAAATCACCCTGATGTCTTCATTAGTCTAGCCCAGGATAACTACATTTAAGAGTATTTTTTTAAATTATACATTACGAAGAAACAAAATCTAAAAATAGTTCCCCCAACCGACTATCCTTCAGTTAAATAAAGAAACATAAAAAGGGGACAGAACAAACACACATACACGGGTCTGTCCTGCTTCCTCAGAATCTCATCATCACGCATTATTACATGACAGACAATTTCATATTTTGTTCTGCATTGCCATGCATTCCATTTTTTTAATATTTAATTGTTTTGTCTGGCAAGTGTCTCATGAATGTGTTTTTATTTTTCTGTTTTTCTTTCTCCCTTTGCAGACAACTTGGCATCAAAGAATGCGAAGACGATGACAAAGATGATTTGCATGCGAATGCCTTTACACCACCCACCAATTATATTAAAATATCTCAAGGAAAGATACAATTAGTGCATCAGCAGCAGCCACCGCCACCATCGCCAGTTGCAACATTGTTTCCAGCAATACCGACACCAACAACACCATTGTCACCATCAGCACAACAGACGTTGACATCGTCACCACTGGGTAGTGGCAGTGGTGGAGTAGCAGCAACAACACCACTAACATCAACACTGTCCTCAACAGCTACGACGGCTACCCTAAATGGCTATCATCATCATCACACAACAACATCGTCATCGTGTAATGGCAGTGAATCTCCCAGGGATAAGGTAAGTGTAGTAGAGCACACTCCCACCCTTTGTGGATACTTAAATGCCTCTATCTGTAAATGGTACACCAACAACAACAACAAGCAATCATGCAACATCATTACAATAACATAAGTGTAGCTAGAAGTAATCATCTATTCAAACTACTCTAGCTAGGTAGCTATCTATCCTCTGCCTACATCCCACTTCAATGTGGGTAAATTATTTTGGGTAATTTCCACTACTCCTCCTCCCCCACTTCTCACATCCTGCGAGGAGGATACTTTCCATCCATCCATCACCATTTGAAATCTACATCTTCATTGTCATTAGCATTAAAGTTGGTGTTGGCCGTGGTGGTGGAGTAGCATTAAGTTTTGTGGTTACGGTGGTTACGCTTCTTCTTGTATTCTATTGTGGCTCTTCATTTAGCTTTCATTGTATTTTGGAATTTATTTTTGTGCGGAATTGGATGTGGGGGTAGCATTAAATCTGCTTTTGTAGATTTTCGGATGATTTGTTGCTACATAAATAAAAATGTAATTTAGTTACAGTTACAGATACTAAATAAAAATATACACTCCATCTATGCGGCAACAGTTTAACTCCCCACAAACCTTCCAATCCTCATTCCAAGGCTCCTCAAGTAGTTCCTATTTTTTATTCTTCTTCTCGCATTGCTGAAAGGAAATGCTTACGATTTTTCTTTGCCTAACAAAGAAAACGCGAAGCAAAATCTTTAAATGTTTCTTTGTCATTGCTTCCTGCAACAACAATAACAACAACTCCAATTCTCTAAAGCTAAGCTGTGCTTTGTTGTAGAATAAAAAAATATGTCTTTGAAATTCCAAATCCTTCCAAGAAGCTGTTACAACTAGGAAGAAGTTTGCTTTAACAAAATAGTTTCCCCAGAAAAAATCAGAAACATTTCTTAGACTCCATTCTCTACATCTAAACATTTAGCACTCTTTCCCCTCTCTTCTCCATCTCGCTCTCATTCAACCATTAGTCCTATGTGTGTCCTACAATAAAAAAATACACACAAAGGAATAACTTAAAGCTTATATCAATTAAAATGTTCTCGTGACTGGAGAACCCAAAGAAGTGCCAAAGAAGCAGAAAAAGAAGAAGCAGACGTAGAAGATGGCAGGCAGAATGGCATAAAAGAGCAAACGAAATACAATCAAGTTCTATAGCGTTCAATGAACTTTTCGTTTTTTTTTTACAATTACAAGCTGGTGAGAAGGAGGCTGGCTGGCTTGCCAGACAGAATTTTCTACTGGAGGGCAACAACTGCTACTGTTGCACTATTGACTGTTGCTGCTACTCCTGGCATGCAACAAGAACAATAACAAACTAAACTACAATTGTGTGTATTGTTTTTTTTTCTGCTGTTGGGGATCCCCCTCTCTCTCGCTCTCGGTGACGACAATAAAACTACGCAATCTGTTGATGGTATTTTTGCTGAATTGTACGAAGTTCGCAGGAGATGTTGTGGAAGGCTTGAACACAAAAATTGGATAAAAATAGAATTAAATAAAGCTGATGGATAATAGAACAGCTGAAGGTAGTCTTTTTAGGCGAGCTGAAGGGAGACTTTATAGAGGTTCGCCCTGAAGCCACAGTACGTCTTTATAGACGAGCAGAATGGATTATTTTTTAGACGAGCTGAAGGTAGTCATTATAGACCGGTTGGAGTTAGATTTTTAGAATAGCCGAAGATAGTCTTTATAGCATCTTTATTGATGAGCTGAAGGGGGACTTTATAGACGATCATGATATCCTCTTTATAGAATAGTATTGAATGCGATCTTGAAGTAGTTCTTACAAAAGAGGCCTCTTAATGGGCACGTAGATGGAGCTTCTATAGGCGATCTCAGGCAATTTGTTAAGGTATTCCTACACCTTTTACATGAGGTGAAAGGAGTCTCTATAAACGAGTAGAAGACAGTCTTCATAAGGAAACTTCAAGAAGAGCCTCTTTATAGACGCGTAAACGAAAGACTCTATAGGCGATCTCAGTTATTTTTTTTAGACGAGCTAATAGATTGTTATTTGTCGATCTGAAGTTAATTAATTTTTTAAGCGATCTGAGGACTGTGGAATTCTTTATGGAGCTGGAGGAAGTATCCATAGACGAGCTGAAGGCTGTCTTTTTAGTCAATCTGGAAATCGGGATGTCTTTATAGTCTATCCGATGGTCACAGAGCCCCCATAAACGAGATGAAGCTTAGATAAACCCCCTTAGAACAGAAGATGCTCAGGATGTCTATTTCGACAAACTGAACATTACAGACGTGCGGATGCTCAGGGTTTCTTTATAAACTAGATAAAGTTCAGGGAGCTTTATAAGCGAGTTGCAGCTCAGGGAGTCTTTTTGAGCAGGCTGGAACTCATGGAGCCTTTATAGATGGAATGAGGTTTAGAGAGTCTTTGTAGATGGTCTGAAGCTCATGAAGCCTTTATAGATGGAATGAGGCTCAGGGAATCTTTATGGATGAACTGAAGCTTAGGTATTCTTTATAAACCAGATGAAGTTGAGCGAACTTTTATAAGCAAGCTACAGCTTAGGGAGTCATTTTGAACGGGCTGGAGTTCAGGGAGCCTTTATAGGTGGTCTGAATCACTGGGATTCTTTATAGACTGAAGTTCAGGGAGCCTATATAAGTGAGCTGAAGCTGAGGGAGTCTTTATGGGCAGGCTACAGTTGATAAGCGAGCTGGAGCTCAGGGAGACTTTAGCGACTATCTAATTCTCTGGAAGTCTTTATAAATGTGCTGAAGCTCAGGGGGTCTTTATGGGCAGGCTACCGATGAAGTTGAGTGAACTTTTATAAGCGAGCTACAGCTTTGGTAGTCATTTTGAAGGGCTGGAGTTCAGGGAGCCTTTATAGATGGTATGAGGCTCAGAGAGTCTTTATAGGTGGTCTGAATCACTGGTATTCTTTATAGACTGAAGTTCAAGGAGCATTTAATAAGCCTGAAGATTGACGAGCTACTTCCTGCCCTTATGCAGGATTGTATAATAATACATAAGGTCAGGAAATATTTCAGAGGAGTAGGAGCTCTTTTAGACAAGCTGCTAATCAGGGAAACTTTTTAAGAGCTAAAGCTGGCTGAGTCTTTTGTGAAGAAGCTGGAATTCGGTGAATCTTTTAAGGCGAGCTTCAGTGGGTCTGTTAAGAAAATCAAAAGGTCAGGGAGCCGTGAAAGAAGCTTTGAGGCTCATGGAATCCTAATAGACGAGTTGTAGACGAGCTGAAACTTAAGAAGACCTTATAGATGAAATTTAAAGCGATAGAGTTGTGCTTAAACTAATGGAGTATTTTAGACGGGCTTAAGCTCGCGTATCCTTATAGGCGAACTTACTACCAGGATTTTATTATATATACCAGTTAAATTTCATAGAGTTTTGATGGCTGGAACTAATGTTCAGGGGGTCTATTCTTCGAATGTTTGCACGCATACTGTCCCATACCTGTCGATCGAGGTGGCACATAGTCTCAGATAGTCTTTTTAGATGAACTGAAGCTCAGGGAACCTTTGAGATAAACTGAAGCCAAGTGAGTCTTTATGGAAAAGCTGGCCCTTAAAATGTTAATGTACCCTAATCTGGTCTTTATAGCCGAGCTTATTGCGAAATATGTGCCATAGTGGACAAATTTCTTTAAATTAAGTTCCTTGTTCCTCAAAATGTCGAAGAAAAAATACTCAACTCGGTCGTCGAACATCAGGAATTCCTACCAAGGGATACTATACTCAATAAAGAACAATAACCAGAAGCATCGCTCATTGAAAGCGAAGCTTGGCAATTTCGTCAAGGACATTTCACTTCTCGCACGTTGGTGCTCCACGGCGTTTTTTCGCGCAAAAAAATACACATGAAATTCCATACAACGACACCGAAATTCACAATCCTGGACTTTAAATTTATGATGTTCTGGCGATCGTATTCCTTAAAACTGATTTCTATAACCAGTTTTTGTTTTCCCCCTAAAAAAAGAGAAATCAATGAGAGGACGACGAAACGGCGAAGGGCATACTACCATCGAGGGACCGTAGGCTTGTCTTGCAATTCTATTCACCTTTTCGAAGTTGCAATTAATTCCCTCAAATGTAAATTTTTCCGAATATACCCTTCAAACTTTTCATCCTAACCTCTTACCGAACGTGATTGCACTTTTCTGGGTGCTTAGCAAATGAACGAAACGAACGACTGAACAAAATGACAGACAAACAAACAAAACAAATGACGACAATGAAAACGAACACAAACAAATAGACTGAAAAACAAAATCGCAACAGCAGAAGATGAAGTTTCTGTTGTTGTTGTTTTTTTTCAACAAATTTATTGTTCACGTTTGACATACCAACATATGTAACTGCTTCAATCTCATCCACACACACACACATATGGATTGGATGCTGTTGAATGGATGGATGTCCTCTGTTTTTATCTGGAATACATTTGTTTGTCTCACCCAGACCCTTCTTATTCGCAACTCTCGTGCATCAGGCGCGGTGTTGCTACCTTTTCGTATTCACTATTATTTTGTAATGCAATGCGACAATAGTCAACTGTTTTCATGTTGATGTGCATGCAGCAACACCAACATCCAACTCCATTTATCGCATTGCTTCAAAAAAAAAGACAATAGTTGTGTAGAGTGCTACCATCATACATCCTAGCATAGTTTGAGGAGAAGATGTTCTTCGACATTACAAGAAATTGTCGTATTAACTTTTTTTGGGGCGACATGTTCGGTATTCTCTCTATGAGATTTATTTTTATTTGGATTTGTTTTACATGACACATTTTTTCGTCTTCATTCGTTTAATTTGATATTGGGCGCCACATTTGGGAAATGATGACATTTCGGTTGAAAGGTGAATAGGTAACTTTTGGGAAAGGGTTATTGGAGGCTGGGCTAATTAAAAATATTTAAGAGATCGGATAGTTTTAAAAAGTAATCCAAATGGTCGACCTTTCCAAAAAGACGTGACGAACTTAAGGGAGTCTTT